TGGAGTTACACAGGGTGGCTGCAGTACCGGAGACAGACACTAGATGGAGGAAGAAATTAGAGGCTCCAGCAAAGAAAACGGGCCTCTTTACCTAAGAGGTCACACACACTAGCCCAGGGAAGACGCAGCCCCAGAAAAGGTTTGAAAGCCTCCCCCCACGATCTCTAGCTGAGCTGACTTCCCCTGTATGAGACCGGTCCATACAGACTGGGACAGGTGGCTGTTTTTCCAAATGCCAGTCCCAGTAAAAGATCACGAGCACACAGAGGAAAAAGAGCCATGGCCCCATCAGCTCATCAAAATAAACCTCCAGAAACAAACCCTAAAGAAACAGAGATTTATGAATCACCAAAGAAGTAAAAATAACCATCTTAAAGGTGCTCAGAGAGCACCAGAAGCAACTATTACAAAAATCAGGAAAACAGCACATGAACGAAAGGGGAATATCCACAAAGGTAGAGAAACTATAAAAAAGAGCCAAACAGAAATCCTGGAACTGAAGCCTACAATAACCGGTGTGACAGATTCACTGAAGGGAGTTAGTGGCAGTCTTGATTAAGCAGAAGAAAGATCAGCAAACTTGAAGACAGGTTATTTGAAATTATTGAGTCAGAGGAGCAAAAAGGAGAAAGAAGAAAAATAAAAACAGCCCAGGGGACTTCGGGTCACCATCAAGCTGATCAATGTAATAATTATGGGAGTTCCAGGAGGAGAGAGAGAAAGGGGCAGAGAGCTTATGTGAAGAAATAATGGCCCAAAATTTCTACGTTTGAGGAAAGGAAGATACATATAAAACTACTGCAGTGGAATGAAACTAGAAATCAACAGCAAAACAGAAACTGGACTATTCACAAATATGTGGAAATTAAACATCACATTCTTGAAAAATCTGTTTTTACATTCAAAGAACTAAAAAAAAGAACAAACTAAACTCAAAGTTAGCAGGAGGAAGGAAATAATAAAGATTAGAGCAGAGATAAACAAAATAGAGAATAGAATAGAAAAACAACAGAGGAATTAACAAAACTAAGAGCTGGATTGTTAAAAAGATTGACAAAATTGACAAACTCTTAGCTATATTTGACATTATCGAACCGTCAAAAAGTCATTGAGTCCTAACCTTTTTGATTTAGACACTCAAAAATGTATATAAAAATATGTTTGAGATTAACTTCAAAATAATCTGAGGGTTGGCTGGGGGAGAGGGTGGGGTTATACGTAAGACTGGCATCAGTCGACGATTTACTTTTAAAGTTGAGTGGGTTGATGATAACATTTCCTCTATTTCTGTGCATGTTTGAAATTTTCCAGGATAAGGGAGCTAAAAAAAATTAACAAAATGAATAAATAAGTAAAAATGTTAGGCGAGAAAGTCAAAGAAATATCCCAAATAATTTTTTTTTAAAAAAAGGCTATAAGAGCATATGAAAGAAAGGTAAGACACACACAGGACCTCCAGAGGGCCATCTACTCTCCAGGCGTCCCAGAAGGAGGGCAGAGCTCAAACAGCAAGAGGCTTTTTGTCCATCAGATGGATGTCACTGTCTGTCCACTACTGTTAGGAACATGAATGAGCACAGGCATCTGAGGACGTCAGTTTCATAGTCTCTTAAAATTTCTTGTATCTACCCTAGAAAAACATTCATACACACACCCACAGTAAATGTTCTTGAATAAATGACTTTTTGATTTTTTTTATATCAGCCACTACATATAAATATCTACAATTCAACCAAAATTCAGAAATTCAACTTCCAGGAATGTATCTTACATAGTTGTACAAGTGAACAAAGAAAATATGAAAAGCATAGTTTCTGAAGTGGCACTTTTAATAGTAAAAAATGGGAAATGTCCATCAAGTCTATTAAAAAGAGTCTAGTTAACAAATTAAGGTGTGTTCATACAATGCAATACTCACTGAAAGGAACGATGTACGTGCAGATACAGAAACAGCTCTACGACATATAATTAAGAACTATGTGTTTAGTGTTACCTCATCAGCATTTTTTTAAAAAGAGATACAGATTCTAGATAGCTAGATAAAGAGAAGATAGATTAAAGATCACTTAACATTTACAAGAAACGTTCTGAATACAGTATGAATAATCCCTTTGGGGGCCAGTTCTGTGTAAAGGGAAGAAAAAGCAATTTAGACAAAAAATGTACAGGATGGAGTTCTCTCGTTCTAATTTGCCATGAAAGTGAAATATACTGTTCCTAGAATGAAGGGAGTAAAAATTAATCTAGTTCCTCTTACTTTCAAAAGCTAAAACTTCGGCTTTGCCAGGTTCTCCAGTACAGCTAGACCTGCTCAGTCAATTTTTTTGTGGAGGACGCAGTTAGAAAGGCCACACTCCAGGGGATTCAAATATACTTCTCCAAATGTCCTTATAAGTAATCTGACCTAATTCTGTTGGTCAGCAGTGTACCATCCCCTGTGGGAACCAAGGTCCCCTGGGAGAAATCTATGCCCTCAGCAAGCCAGTCTTGGTTTTGCTGAAAACATCTCCCTGAGAGACAAAGGAAAACTCCAAATGCCCTTGCGGCAGATACTACAAGTATCCTCATTTTGCACATGAGAACTGAGGCTCAGCAAAATATCTCATCAAGCCCTCGCACCCAGGTAGCTAAGACCTGATGGCGTGGCCGAGAATCCCTGCTTCTCCACCCTCCTGTCTGTGCGCTTTACACCCCAGACCCTGCACACAGACACTTAGGGATGTTGGGTGAAAAATCTGATCGAACAGTGCAGAGCCATAGTGGTTTCTGTTGCCTTATGTTTAGCTACCACCTAAAACAGAAGTCCTCTGTGACACTAAAGGGAATAGGGACTGGAGAGGCCTCCACTTTCTGTTACCTCCCTAATCCATACAAGCTGGCCCGGGACTCTCAGAATCGCTGGCATCATTACCAGTGTAAATTATCTTCAGTTCATTACTAATAATATTCAAATGCCCTGCAGGTATTTTATTTCAAAGTAGGTATTTTTGAATGCTAAGGAATTAAAGATAAGAGCAGTTCTCAAAGTTTGAAGTGCTGTATTTTAGCTGTATTACAGGCTTTAGGTATTGCCTCGAGCGTAAATACAATTCCAACTGTGACTAAAATATTACGCTTGCTGGCGCATCCATCACTTGCACAGGCATCGGCTAAAACACAGAACCGTGTAAAAGCCATACAGATGTTGTCAATCCCTTCTGATTGACGGAGGCACATTTTTCAGTCATCTACTCTTGTCTTAGGCGGCTTAGCTTTCACAAAATCAGCATCCTTTTCAACCAGTTCTCAGGATACTGACAGTGTATTTCAAAGACTTCTCTTTGTTGCAATGGAGCATTAAAACAAGCTTGTAGGTACTTCTACCTGGACCACACATCACCAGGTACTTAGGTTTTAAAATGACCTTAACTGCACCATTAACAGCTCTCATTGCACTCTCTAGTGCAGAGAATGCTGAGAACTGGACCAGAGGACAGACTTGCAGTTTACTACTGGGCTGATTTCTCCACCGTCTTTACCAGAGACCGGATCCCTGCTGGCCTCAGGAACTGAACTACTCATGTTGTACAATTCTTACTAAAATTTCTATGGCCCAATGTTTATAGAACTGTTACAATGAAATCTTTCATTATTACTGTTTTCCCAAGCTAACTAGTGAAAAAGTTGATTTAATATTGTCACAAACGGTTAACCTTAGCATGGTTCTTTCCAGGGTGAGCTCCACTGAAATCCCTGTTCAAAATCTGGGGTTTTGGAGACCGAAGAGGCAGAATCAATCTAATGGACTTGGATGCTGGAGACAGAAGGGAAGGGTCGAAGGACGAGAATTCATGTTTGACTGTGTAGCACCATGTGGGAACTTGGATTGAATGAAAGCCAGGACAAGGAGGTTTGAGGGGCTTTGCTTTGAGCTGAGATAGTCTGTCACACAACTGGACAGAGAAAGCCAAACAACTCAAACTTAGATGGCAACTGAAGCTAATGGACAAGAGTCTGCATAGTCCAGCAGACTAGGCCCCAACCCACAGGAAAGGCAGGAATTTCATGACTGTGAGCCCATTAAGGGCAACAAATGTGAGAACATTATGTCCTGAACTTTAATTTGTAAAATACTTACATGCATGTGAGAAGTACTTCTGGAAATACATGAACTTAGGACACCCAAACTACATTTTAATACACACAATACGTGAATGGATGGCAAGACGGATTCTCACCCACGAACCCATTTAAATCTCAGCTCTTACCAAGGTCTAGAGTATTGAGCAAATGAAATGTTTCTAGATCTACACAGTAGGAACAATCAAAATAACAAGGCACAAGCGGAGCCTGGTGGTTAAACGTTCCCAGTTGGGGTTTGGCAAATGAATTTGATCTACAACATGCTTTTCAGACCACAAGTTAACATAAATATATTAAACTATGTGTAAACTACATGTTAATCTAGCTTCATATTGAGTGACCTACAAATAATACATTAGAAGTAATTCCAAAGAGTCCCCACATGGCTATAGATAGAACTTAAACGTTAATGTATCACCAGGATTGTTTTTTAGTCTAAAATATAATCAAAGCATCAGTGTTGGTAAAACTTAGTAACGTTGGTAATGTTTCCAAAACATTTTGAAATGAACCAAGTTTAAAAGGAGTAAAGACAAACTGGCAGGCCCAGGGCTGGAACTTTAGACCTCTTTTCCCTGAGTCACTTGCCCTCTACCACATACTACGCTTTCAACCGCAGCTGCATACGTTAGAACCACCCCAGAAACCCTTTAGAAGACTGTAGCACCCACATCAATTAAACCACTTTCTGCAGCAGAACCCAGACACACGCTCTTTGGAAAAGATCCCACACGCAGCCAGGACTGTGTATGTTCATCACTGGTGAGGTAACACAGTTCAGTTCTCAAACAATGTCAGCTGTGAACCAGTTTAGTGGCCTCTAACAAATGTTATTTCTTAACCCAACTCTAGTACCAAGAATAAAAAGTCAACAAAAATTAACAACAGTATCAATTTATTAAAAAGGCTGATTTAAGCATCTGCAATGGTGACTTCAACCTCGACTCCGGGCTCAATGCTGATGGAAGTGATCTGCTTGACGATCTCAGAAGGGCTGTGCAAGTCAATGAGCCGCTTGTGGATCCTCATCTGAAAACGGTCCCAAGTCTTAGAACCTTCACCGCAAGGAGTCTTCCTTGTAGTTATTCTCAGAGTCTGCAACGGAAGAGGAAACCAAGAGATTATGGTTTTACGCGCATCCCTGGGACATCTGAAGGAATGTTACTCCGTCTGAAGACTTTCCAGAGCTGCGTTCCCCTTTACGTGAGTTCGGAGGCTGCCAACCGACAACGGCAGGTCCACGGTCACTCTGTGAGGTGCACCGCCAGGAAACCGCAACGGTCACCTCGAGAAAACCGAATTCTACCAGCACTGGAACGAGTGTGTGCTGCTGGCATCACTATACAGCATTTCTGGCAGCCGAACCCCTCACCCCGAAAAGCAAAAATTCAGGTGTAAACCCACAACCAGGCCCCCTTCTCACCTTGGTGGGCATCCGGACCGGCCCCTTCACTTTGAGGTTCTTCTCCTTGGCGCCTCTGATCAGGTCAGCACAGACTACGGGGAAACGAAAGCGTCTTTCAGCTCACTCAAAACCACAGCCGGCGAAGAGAACCCCGACGGCGGCGGGCTCAGAATAGCGTATACGACCATCACCGAGTTCAGCACGACAGTCTCTCCTCATCGCCACCCGCGGGCTGAGACACAGTAAAAGCCGAGCGTGGACACTCGGGCCCGGTCGGCTCGGGCGGAGCAACCTGTCACCGCCCGTGTCCCAGTCAACCTCGCACAGCGGCAAGGCGGCGCTCTTCCCGCCCAGGCTGTCACCCCGCGGCGACCGCACTGACCCTTCTCCAGGGACTTCACGTTGCGGCTGGTCAGGGTGATCCTAATGCGGTGAATGGCCACCTCCGGCTCCACGGGAGTCTTGCCGGTGTCTTTAAACGCCTGTTGCCACACAGGGGAGGAAATCAGCGGACTTGCAGAGCGCCCGTCACTCCTGGAGGCGAGCCGCCCAGGCCCCCCCTCCCGGGTGGGCGAGTCCGGGCTCCCCACGCCGGCCCGACAGCGGCCCGGGACCGAGCCCCCCGCCCG